TATATATATATGTTAAACGATTTATTAAATATTCTACCTGGTTGATATGGAGCAGTAAATCTATCGTAAGTTTCTTCGTCAAGAATATCATGCAGCCTGAAGAGCCCACTAAAAATTGATAATTTTTTAAATATTTTATTTAAAATTTGTGCACATTTTACTATATTAAAATAATTAAATATACACAGTAAATTATTATAAATATACATGTTGACCAAAAAATTACGCACGAAAAAGAAGGCATTGGAATTGAATGAAATTTCATCAGTGCAAACATTATGACGGTGGTAATAAATGATTGTAACATCATGGCAATAAGACATTTCCTGTGCAACAATAATATAATTTAAAGAAACCATTAGTACCTCGTAGAACCTCCTCTTGCCTAAATACATACGGTCGGGCATGGACATGCAGGCATTGTATACTATCCTGTGACAGATTTGCCCAAAGATATCGCAACTTCCACTCTAGATCCTTCACACTCGTAGATGGCCAAAACTGGGGTCTCACGTATTTTCACAAATGCCCAAAGAAAGGTAAATTTAAAACCAGAAAGTCCAAGGAAATATGGCAACTGTGACAAAGACATTCCAGGGATAATCTAGTTCTGTGCAGCCTAGTATTATGCTGCTGGTTTAGTTGGTTTTATTCGATTATGGCAACGTGACACGTGGCGATCTGCCTAGGAGGAATGCCTCTCGGAAAATCTTTTGTGAAAAACTGGCCCATATTTAGGTGTTACTAATATGAAAAACTCCATATGGCCAGCCCGTTGGCGAGCACAAACCCACGACCAACTATCCACTCGGCCACTGGTGGACGTTATGTTGCTGGTAAATTGCAGAGTTGCGGAGATTTGCTGCTCTATATGAAAGAGAATTTTCTAAACGAACCGTCGTGCCATCAATGTCCTTCGTACCACTAATAGGGAAATAGCAGGCAATTTGGTGAAACGGCATTCCTGCTTCTCTCAGCTAATACCGCGTTTATCTAAATTTTTCACTGTTCGTAATAAGATTGACTGTGTCGTATTACGCCCTGGCATGCCTGGCACACGAAGACCTGCAAACAACAGATGGACTGAAAATTCTGAAACCAGTAAACCTCTGCAAGCCTTTTTATAGAATACTAATTTTGAAGATAACATGATGAATATTAAGCAGCAGCAAAACAATCAGCAATGAATTAGATAGATTTTTTTTTATTTCTTTCCTCTCCCGGGGGCACAAAGTCCGATTTCATTTTTGGTTTTATTCGTATATGGCAATGCACTCATGGGCGACCTGCCGAGAGGGATGCCTCCCGGGAAATCTTCTATGAGAAATTGACTTCTATTTAGGTGTTACTAACGCGCAGGAAACCTGGAAAACTCCACGTGGCCAGTTCTGTTAGCGAGGCGCAAACCCACAATCAACTATCAGTGTTCAATGGTTTTATCAACACCACCACTGGTAGGCTACTAAAGCCTTTTTTCCATATTCACCGTGGATTTGGCTAGTCCCACAATGGAGGTTCCCCGGTAGTGAGGGACGAGGCCCGACATATTCAGAACAGACAGCAAATGAAAAATAGGAGCAGTAAAACATTTATGAAACATTAAAGAAACATGCCATTTTTTCAGATGTAAGAGTTTATTGAATGGTTCAGAATATATTGTTGACATTACACAACATTGTTTACTTTACTTTTTGTATCAATTTTGTTGATTGAAATCCATTCAAACATCCTTGTTTACATTGATTGAGAAGAATAAGGCATTTTAATGCATTTATTTTTTATTTCTAATTTTTCTTTTAATAGAATTATAAAATACTAGCTGTTACCCGCAACTTCGCATGCGGAGGTTTTGCAAACAAACCCCATTTATATTCAGTATTTCAACAACCATAGTAATTGTTATATAACACCTACCGCCGAGAATGATGAGAATTGCTGAGAATCAAACAAACTATTTTCAATTTGATCAATTTTCTGGAACGTTTACAATCGTTCTATAATCGAACCAATATGCAATAACAAATTCGAATTTAAAAAGGTTCGAACATTTGGTTAAAAAATCGAAATATATAAAAATATTTATAACAATGTCTGAAATGTTATTAATTTAATACACTTAAGTACTTAATGAAGACTAAACGTAACAAAAAATCGCATCTAAAATAGAACAATAAAAACCGTTCTTCCGGTTAAGACTTAATCCTCTCCCTCTCCCCCGATGGGGAATTTCGGAAAATTCCTTCTTAGTGTACGTTTCCATGACGTACCCTAACTGTGTACCAAATTTCACCTCTTTAGGTTTAGCGGTTTGCTCTGGGCGATGATGAATCAGTGAGTGAGTCAGTCAGTCAGGACAAGCAATTTTATATATATAGATTCTCTTATTAAATTTATATAACTTTTTTTTTTGATGATACGTATATTTACTTCTTCACTTGTCTAATACTTAATTAGGAATCAGTTTCCTATAGTAGTCCTCCTAAGTGGGACAATAAAACCTCAAGATTCGCGAATGCTTTGCATGAGAAAAGAATTTTTCAGAGCATTATTTTTTTCTAACTCTCTCCACCCTATGGGCATTAAGAGAACTATTTTACTTTCCTGGATGTTATATAATAACAGAGGGAATGTATGGCGATCGGTCAAAAAATCACTCCCCAAGATTTTTACATTTTTGGAATCAGGGGACCTTCAACATCGGGAAACGGGGGAAAAAATCGGAGATAATTTCTGTACGACGAGTATAGATGTTAGTATATGTGGCACGATTTTGTTTATCTTCTTTGAAGCTTAATAACTCCTGTGATTTTTGTCAAAAATTTTCTAAAATTTTACAGGGAGGTTTGTTTATTAGGGAAATTAATGCTACTAAATTTTGGTAATTATATGTCGAGGGGATGGGGAGATAAAGGAGCCGTGTGTTTCTCCAATAGGGTCGCACTTAATGATTTTACTTGTTATTATTATAACAAGTAAACATTTATAACTTTTTATAAAACCCATTCCTGCCCTGAAAATTAGCTTTTTGCCATTTTATAATAATTAAAAATGTAAAAAGTTTTTAATAATAAAATATCATAACATGAAGACACACACGCAGTTTTAAATATTGCCGGGAAAGTTAAGCAACTCGTTGCTGGAATTTTTTTATCAATGAATTATGGATTATATCCCATTATGGATTCGGTCATGCCCGTAATGGCGCTCGCCATATCGCGATGGGCCAAAAACTTCCAGGGATTTTTCGACCCAACCGGAATCGATTCAGAGTCCCCAAGAGCGGTAAGCTGCTGTCTTAATTGCTCGTCATCCGACCGTCCTGCGAAGCATTTAGATATATATTACTAATTAGTGCGACAATGTGTCAATCCAGGACGTAAAACAATTTATCTTCAACTGTAAGAAATTTGATCGTCAAAGGG